CTACAAGGTTGCCATCGCTTTAGCGTCCGAAGTCTGCAAATAATAGTAAACTGCGCCATCGACACGATCCTGATCTACAAAATCTATAATTTTCAACTGAGTTAGTGGCTTGTACGGTAACCAACGTCGCTAGCGCGTCCAGAAGACCAATAGTAATAATTTAACAGTTAATAGAACCTGTCAAGGCGGAGACGGTGCAGTAGAACTATTTAAGGACACGGGGCATTGACTGATAGGTACGCTGACAGAGCGACTCGATTTTCTATCACTCTACACAAAGAACCTAGCCGTACATTAAGCAGACCTGATTCGAAGCGAACAATTATTCGATTGCAATTAACGTTATCATTAACTGTTAATTAAAACAGTTTTTTCTTTTTTTTTTTTCTGATAAAAACATCATGTTTTTGACGGCTTAACGTTGAAGCTGACTACCGCATTGCAGTGTTAAGTCGAGCCGGGAAATAAGCTTGCGGCTGAATTAATATCGACTCGATATGTGGGCGTTTAAAAAAAAACAAAGTTACTTGTCCAGTCATCATTACCGACCCATAGTATCGCATTTAGCCAGAACGACACCCAGTTGCGCTGGGTGATAATATAGCAATTCGGGTTAAAAGATCATCTACTCAGTTGCTCTATGCAGCCCACTTCCTGACTTGCAGTTAAATTCTTAGCTTCTGTTATCTCGAGGGTAAGCGTGACCATGATGGTGACAAATATTTGCTATCGACTTTGACATGTTTTAGACCAGAATGGTCCCCAGGAACGCAAATACATTACTGACTTGGTCGACTTTTCTAGGGGGCATCCAGGGATCGTCTATCCTCAGTTCTGAGCTATCGATGATTGAAGCTGATTTTTGACGAAGATCAGCGAGTGTTCGACAAGCCAGCCAGTCGGCATTGTCGGGCCCCGCTGACCTCAGCCAACGATGCCTTCGTTCGACATCACCGAAATACATTATTTCACGCCCAGATAATGCGTAAGTCTCCGCAGTTTCTAAGCGCGACAAAGACAGTTATCCATACAAGTTGAAGACTTTGCATAATACCTTTAAGTAAGCGTAAAAAATAAACATTGGTCGGTAACTAGGTCGGAGAGCAAACGCAAGTGAACTTATATTAGCATTTAGCCCTGCTGCACAACTTACAGATGTTGGCAGTACACGAAACAACAAGCAAGACATTGATGTCGTTCGGATATCGCATCCTGCTATACGTGTTATTATTTCAAAGAGATTGTTCCGAATAGTTCGCTTATTGTGGGACAGCGCGTATCCTGTAAAATAAACGGGTAGGATTGTGTAATCATTGTTGAAAAATAAAGTAGAGATTTCTTTACTGCATTGCACCGCGTGTCGCTTTAAGGCTGTTCGTTTGAACTATAGCAGTTCTAAATGTCCCGGTTCGACGCGTTAGTCAGCGCTTGAAACGTTTTATTAGACGGATACAGAACCTCGTTTGTTTTTACAGAAGAAATATTAGTGTGAAGATGCCTATTGTATACAACTGCACGGTCCCATTTCAAAGCCATATACGCTGCTTGCAAATAATGATGGAGCAGCTTGTACGCGTCAACAAACCGATAAATACATATAATAAAGTATATCTGCATGGAACGAAATATGGGTGCTCTGTTTGCTGCCGTGGCGCCGCGCTACTTCAGCGAGAATTTCCTTATGCAACATGGCCTAGATATAAGAAGCAGACGAAACTACTGGTGTCCTGCTGGTCGAGAACTAAACTCTTGTTAGCTGATTTGAAAGCTAAAACAGCGGGATAAGTAAACAATTGCTGTCTTAGCTCGCTCAGTCTAAAAAGACGGCTACGTTGACAGCTTTCAACTTTAGGGTAATTGTTCGTGTCGGTTGTTCTACTTTCGATATTCGAGATAAAGGTCAGGACGAAATGGCTATGTATGAGTAATCTCGAATATAGCGGTCAGAACTGTACCGGCTGAACTGAAAGATGCTTAAGATGGATACCGCTCTGATCCCAAAAAGTCCGCTGGACATGCAGCGAAAGTGACTTTAGGTAACTTAAAGGAACCCGATTTATTCATCAACACGAGCCGGGTAGTGAATTATACGAGAAAAGGAACAGAACCGAGCTGAGATATTGGCCCGTTTTGGCAATTTCGCAGAGCAATGCGGCGATATGGGCGTTATCTGAAGGTGTGGTATTAAGTATGGCTCCGAATAGCTTTAGTACGGTGCTAATCAAGTTCGAACAGGGCCAGCGGTGCTATTAGCCTCGATGTAGGAAGTATCAATGCACTTTGATCTCCTCGTACGAAGCTCTCAATGAGCGGAAATCAATAGTCCATAAGCGCTAACTTGCTCTAGGAAATTTCCAGCATAGTTGAAGGTCGAAATCGCCGCTGCGACGCTGATACCTATGTCCAGGTCGCTGGTACATTACAGGAACCATAAAGGACCTTGACTGCACACTTGAAGATCGTACGTACCAACCGAATGCACCATTCTACGTTCAATTTTATGGTATGTTACGAGTAAATAATTGCGTGAAATCAAATCATAGAGGATTGGCTAACTACACGATGGCCAATAGCAATGTCTAAGAGGGAAACAGTATCAAGTAATTCTTTACACTGAAAGTAGAAGTGTGTTGTATTAAAAAGTCGCTAGTGATGCGTATTTGTCCATCTAGTCGGTACAACGACGGTTTTTCTGTCACACGTGTCAACCGTGCAGCAGCGCGTATCTAAGATTCATCTTCGTAAAAGCTCTGGAAAGCCTTGAGGGTCCAAGCCTTCCCAGAGCTCTCAAATCGATAATGACAGTAGCGACGCTAGCACGCGATGCGCTTTGAGACAAAAGTCACAGATTTAGTTAACCAAGCTTGCTGGCGTTGGACGTGACGGGATATATTTTTCTTTCTCAAGTAAATAGCCAGACAATTAAGGTCGTGGTTTTTGAATCGCCGCTGCCACTTCAAGCTCTAGCTGACGGTTGCCGTCTATCCGCAGTGAAATCACATGACGGCTAGTAGCGACCATCAGGTGAGTGGGTGTCTTCAGAAAAAAACGGAGAACGCTACACAGAGTAGTTGGTCACTGGCAGGCGGATAGCGAAAGATTGAATCTTCTCACTAACAAAGGAACGTCAATCCATGAGCCACTGTCTCGCGTCCGATTGGATGGAAAACACTGAATATTTCCGCTTACTCGTACGTATATATATAACCGAGTAACACTTGCAAAACAGGCCCGCTCTATTTGGCCATCAAAAGGCTAAATTTTTAGTCTAGGAAGAGTGTACGATGAATAAACTGCTAGTAGAGAAAGCATTAAAGTTAAACCGAACAGAGACTCCAACCTTTGCCAAATTACTTTCGTATAGTACTTAAAGTACCTGTACATATAGTAACTTAGAACTAACTACTTAGTCACAAAGATGCTCAAAGTAACCCTCATAATTCGTACTTCTTTATGATTGACCCTTAACTCTCAACCACGCTACGTTCCTTGTTGCCATTGGCACCGTTACAAGCGCCCGGCAATTTTCGCGTTTATCTCGACCGTTGCCGAGATGGAGGCGATCAAATACGACACCCTAAAAATGATCTATAGGGTACCTAACGTAACTTGGTTTGTATATTTTGCAATTTTGACATTATCGTTTGCTTCTTCTTCTTCTTTTACATAAGACGATAAAAATACTACATAGGCAAACCTGCGCACCATTTGCAGACCGTTTACCAACATCCATACGACAGTAAATGACAGTGAGTGATTGTGTCACGCCGCCGTTGTAAAACATTGAATACATTTTAATACTCGTTCTTTGCGTACGAAGTAACAATTTACTGACATATTTTGTTGACTTCCGTTTTAACAGGCTACTCCTTGCCGCCAAAGATTCACATGTACATCTTAGCCAATCGTATACTGGCATGTATGTATGTATGTATGTATGTAATTTTGGATCTGTTTGCAAAACATGCCAATGTTATGACGAACAATTGAAATAACAGTGGAAAGGATTCAGCGCCTCGCAATGGACGATTCATTGGCATCGTTCAGACTTCACAGACATTCGCCAATCGTATCTTTGTAGTGCAGGCTATTATTACGGAAATCAGATCCGAAACGATTTCAGCCACAGGAAGTAAGCTTGCAATGAGCCAACAAACTAAGCGCGTTAGCCAAGGTAACGTACGCATTAACGCGCAAACGTTCAGGGATCAAACGGTGGTCGTAGCTCAACTTCTGTCAGCAGCAACCGCCATTATTGATACAAATCAACATTAGAGTCACCAATCGAAAGGATGGCAATCCATGCGTATCAGCGCTCCACTAAGTTATAGGTCAAATGTTACACAGATTATAGGCTCATGAAGGAGAAAAGAATCAAGCCATAAAGAAAAATGAATATGGACGGTAGTTGCTGCCAGTGATCATCAGAAGGTAGAACATTTCTCTTAAAAAGTAACATTTTTTTTTTTATCTCTTGAACAGCAATCTTTGCGATGCTAACTTACACAGACACGTAACCGAATTTTCCATGTGGGCGCTCGCGCAAAGCCGAGCTACGTTTCTAAACGAAACAAGTTAAACTTACGCTGTATGCAAAAATATGAAACATGGCTCTGCGACAATTGGCGGCTGGATACAGTTGTTGCGTTTGAAGAAGTTTCTGCGGTACTGACGTTGAGCGATTCCTAGTACTTAGAAAGGAAACTTATCGAAGCTTCCTTTCTAAGCACACGCGCGCTGGTATTATTGGTTGTTCTTGTAGAGCCGTATTAATATTGTCACGGTACGGTTCATTGTTTTTTCGCAGCTGCACCATTCTGTTGCTGAGTTGTTGAGTTTTAAACACTACCGAGCGTCAAATTCGAAATTACCCAAACTAAGTGACTGATAATACGAGCCACCTAAGCAGATTTCTGATAGCCCTAACTAGTTTTATAAACCAAGTTTGTTATTGCATAAATTATTGTCGTTCTATTGCAAGCAGACGTCTTCGAACTTACCAGGTATGTCCTGTTCGACATTTTCAAAATTCGTGTCGCGGGCCATGATTGCCACTGTCCCTTTGCTGGTCTGGCTATCTGTTGGGACGAACTTCCAATGGCGGTCGGAGATGGAGTTAACAAAACACGACGTCAGCAATAGCAATTATAGTGATTGTAGCAGAAGCAACAACAAAGAATAGCAAGAAAGAAATAGACAATTGCAATGAACTTAGAACACGTAAGCTTGCCAGAGCATCCTCCACCGTCGCAAACATAACCACAACAAGTATCCATTCAGGAGATTGAAGTTCAACACAGCATGAACGCGAGCATCACTTTGCACACGCACTTTGTTATCTTCAGCTTTTGTCATCTCTCGAAAAGAAGAGCAATCATAGGTGATGATTAGAGCGAAAAGCGGGTACTCTTGCCAACTGAATCTATATTCGCGTCGTGTAATTATCACGTCAAGAAGTATCTGAAGATTCATTGAACACTGAGCAAGTGCAGGTGAAGCAGGAGTCGCTTCTGATGCGGTAGTAACAGCAACACAAAATTTTCTAACGCATTGTTCCCTGACCTAGCATAATCTTCGTATATACTATATATTTTTATAGAAAACTAAAAGAACAAGATCGGTGTTGACAGCTAGAGACGGCATAACGTAGCAAGGAGAAGCAAATATTTCTTATCTGGGCAGCAAGAAAATATATGATAAGCGTTGAGCGAATGCGCAAAGCGCGGCCAACAACTCAGACAAAAGAGTCACTTTCCGCTAGGTTGATCTCTGTCCAAAGCCAGCAAAATTTTAGCAAAAACAGTCCGCAAGTTCTTAAGCGAAAATCGCCTAACTTCCTTTGGTAGATCGGGACGAAAAAAGCTGCTTGCAAGCCACAAAGTGCGTGTCCCTAGACGTCAACAGGCCGACGGTACTAACCGGCGATACCCCCCTTTCCGCCCGCCTCCCTATCAACCTTCTCTCGTTCACATAACAAAATCGCCCACTCCATTGAAAACATGCCGATAATTTATTGTCTCAGACAATAGCAACAAGTGCTATCATCTGGCCATATCCATCTTCAATAGCCCATATTGACTATAGCTGACCATCAGGCGACAACTTTTCTAATACTTCTCTATTCGGGATTGCTGAAGGCTTGTAGCTTTAATGTTGGGAAACAGACGCAATTTTCGGCTACTACGAGTCACAGCAGGCAATGTATTGTATAATAACGTTACAATGAACAAAGCGGGCACGAGCTAGTAAACCAAGAACTCTCCTTCTTTACATTACAGACTGCTAGTAGTTGAGCACTAACTGCTGTTGTGGTACCAGTAATGAAGTATAGATACGTAAGAGAATCTAGGCAAGCGCAGAGCCCCTACCAGGCGTTGTTGCCACCACCACTCTGCGCTACTCAGTTCACAGACGGGGAACCACCCTTCGACATGGCGGCCATCCGTTGGAGAGGGTAAATCCACTCACGAAATCGGGCCACTGCAGGCCACACTGGGCATGACTAGACAGAGCGGACCAATACGCGGCCAGGCAAACACATAGAGATGCACGCGGATGGACAGGGCACTCACTCGATACAAAACAGACACAGGCTCAATTATTATTAGAAAAAAATCAGACGACAGCACCAAGTAGTTCGCTCGTTCATAGTCAGCGATGTCGAAAACGAGAGCATCAGATTAACGAGGCGGGCCGGCTCTCCACAGACAAGTTTCGCGCGCTACTACTTCCGTTGGAGTGAGTCGACCGTCGCGCGGGCTTTACTCGCTGCTAGATCCTCCATGATGATGGGAATAGTTCCCAACTGTTTGGCGGGAATCTGTTCGACTTATTCTTTCCCGCCGTAGTCCGCTACGATAGGCGGAAGCGTCGTCTGCAAAATACGATTCGTCTGCACGCAGAATATACATCTGGTTGTTTCCAAACAAACAAAAGAAACAAGATGGCGCCGCCCTGACCTACAGCAGATGATCACTGTAAAATTCCCTAAGACCAACGCCAGCAGCCGGTGTTTGATCTGATAGCTTTTAATATTCGAGCACTGTGTACATCTTTACATAAAGTATAGGGTATACCTGTGTCATTCAGTGAATGTGTTTGGATGGCTGCCACAGTGTAGTGTTAATGCCATATCCAGTAAAAAGACTAAGATTCGTAATAGAGGCTAACGTATATTATCGAAAGGTATTAATTGGTCGATTACGTTGTCGCCTAAAGCTACGAGTCGGCCTCCTTCGTCGCCGTTGCTTAGACGAGGAGTTAGCCAAAAGCGGCCGCTGTACAATAATTCCACATTGCAGATTTGTCTGAGCAACAACTACGAGCGACGTGAAACAGATAAAAGTAGATCAATTTGATGGCGTCGAGGACCGGAGCATATATCCAAGGCACTGATGGAAGCGATTTCCAACACCGGCAAAGAGTTGCCTCTCATTACCAGGCTAGGTGGGTTAATTAACTGTTCCTGTTTTTAATAGTTATACCCTTTCTCGGGGCGAGTCATTAGCTGTGTTATCTACAGCGCCGGCCCCATAAGTGCGCTGGCCACTCCGTCCAGACGGCTGCTGCTATTCCAGATCTGGCATTTTTGTATTAGTGTCTGAAGTGTGTTTCTTTGATTTGCACTGTGACAGTTAACGGATTAAGTTGGTGCGCGCAACTGAACTAGCTGTGTGTGACTACCAAGACTGAACGAGCCAAGCTGATTGCAAAGTGAAGTGCCATCTGCCTTCCTTCTCTCAACCGATGTGTGTGACATCTTCTTGCACCTGCGTTGTGTACTACGTTCATAGACTATTCTATTGTTACAACAATTAGATTGGCGGTTTTCCTGTCCCCTCACCCCCTTACTCCTCCTTTCACAAATGCAGGCCGCCGATCGGCAACCGGTTTACTCATTGTTAGCAATCTTTGTTCATTTCTTCTTTCCGTTCGCTCCGATGGCTTGTCCTGTTCCCCCTACTCGCCCTGCTTGTACTCGCTAACGATTTATGGAAAGCGACAACAATTGTTTCTACTACAGTTGCTCTCTATGTAACGATGATACTACCGAATGGTTCTAGTGTCAGCGGCCTTGATTATGCCCCTGCACATCGATGCCGTAATGGCGGCCCGTTGTCGGCACCAGAACACCGTGGGCGCCGCCACCTTGATGGCAGCACTTATGCCATTTTCCTCCTGCTGCTACTTATACAGGTGCAGGTGCATTCCTCAATTGCCGTTTGCCGCTCTCTATCGCTTTTTCTCCCTGCGCTCGTTCTGTCCGTAGTGTCCCCCCTCCTCTCAGATCTCTCTGGGTTGTTTACATAGGCAGCTCTGTGCATTCGACTAGGCTAGAATATATTTTTCTAATATATGGTCAAGCCGAGTGAGCTATCTGCACGCGCGGTACCGATGCGGCACCCAACATATAACTCGTCGCCGTCCTTTGTCACGGCTGCCGCGAGCGCCGACGACAGTGTTGGCATTGGCATCGCCATTATCACCACCGCCAGCAATTGTTGACGAGTAACGACGAGGACTTTGACTTCTCACAGGAACCTCTGAAGCAGCTGCTGGCAGTGCTCGTGAAACTGATGGTACCACCGTGGTCCATCGAATGTGCTCGGCTGTCCTCTGACCACTATCCGACACGCTATCTGGTCTAGGTCGCGGTGGGCCTGAGTAGCGTCAGTTGTATCGAGGACTTCTTCGAATGCCTGTCTGTATGGGGCACATAGCCAGGTTCTACTACTACTGCTGCTAGAACGACTTGTACTACGCGAGCGTGTTTGTGCTTTGTAAGCACGAACTGGCGCTGGCCGACGGTTAGAATCATTGTCTATAGCTGCAAGCGACAACTATCGAAGGAGTTCGCCGCAGGCCGGAGGTACCACGGTCGTTGTCTTAGTGACTAGTCGTTACGGGAAAAAGCAACAGCGTCGGGCTATGTTTTGTTTATGCTGCATTGCAGGCCTCTGCGATCATCACAACTCTGATAGAACAGCAGGGCATCGGGAGCAGTTCTAACGGCTATAATTCGTCGTGTATATTTAACTAGGAACAAACATTAATGCCAAAGTAGTCGCAGTGTAAAGCTAGTGCCAAAATAGCACTAGCCCGCCAAGCTACTTGCCCACGATGACACTCGGCAAGTTCTGGAGGTCTGTTGGATTACAATTATTCCTATTTGCGGTGGAACCGCGGTTTTCTTCAGTGATTTTTCAAGGTATTCTCTTAACTATTAGAAGTTGTTTGTGATTCGGACTCGCTGAGAGAAAGGGTACCCGTTATCAAGGTGCGGCATCTTGCACCTAAGAATCATTAAATGCACGTGGAACTTTAACCGGACAGGCTCAACAATAGATACGACAAGGACAAAGGCGACGAATATGTGGTCAATTTGTACTTTCAATTTGCGAATTTCGGAAAAGGATAACTTGCTTGTATTGGACACCCCTTGTGGCTGGCGTAACGCTGCAGTGTCTTCACTGCACGAAACTGAGGTTATTGTGATTACTAATCGGCCTTCGTGTTTACTGTGTATACTTTGAAATGGGGCCTTGTTGTACACGTAAGCTGTCAAATAAATTTGCTGAGTGTAACAAAGGCGCACGGTTTAAATGGACGCATCACTACTAATCACGGCTGTGATCACTTTCATTGCTGATCAGTTTTCTAAAACGAAGGATACCAGTTTGCAAAAAGACATACGTTTGAAAATACCGTGTTTGCTAAAAGAAGAAATCTGTCATTTAAAGAACAGGACTGATTTAATCTCAGACTGTAGATATATTCGTGCCAAATTGCAGAACGGCTAACCACTCATGACGGTCGCATTGTTGAGAATTACATTGTTGAAACACATTTGTTAATTCACTGGTCCAACGATTGACCTTCCGGGATTGACAGGTTTTCCGGGACGCTATAAAGAGACGGATTCCAGGATTTGCTAGTGTCGATGCTATTGTACGAAACACGACGTGCAGATATCGCATTATATATACATTTTTTCCGAGCGGTTTTTGAGTTAATATTTTTTGTGTCAAGTAGTGTAAAAATCGTCCGAATACATCACTTAATAACATGTGTTTACATTTAAATAACAGTGGCTCCAGCCCAGAGCTTTATTGGTTTGTTAACGCGATGAAAAGTAACAGTAAAGCATATTCGGATATAGATAGTCCTGTTTTTTTTTTTCATTTATCAAATTAGTGTATTCAAAGTTAATAACGATAAGTAATTCGTTAACGATATCATGAAAGCTGTCTTCTGGTGGTAGTCGTCTCATTTTTGGTACGTAATTTACCGGATTGCTAAATTCTCATTTTTTGTTGGCTTGACGTGTGGCCGTTTTCAGCGCTGCGTATAAGTCCCGATTAAAGATGTCCATATTCTGCCACGGTCTTCTGGCAGTTGTCCTTCTCGCTAAGGTAAGAATGAATGTTTTTTATGAGTCGTAAAAACTCACAAATAAATCGTTCACAATGTTATCTAGCTAAATTGATCACATTGTGCATTCGAAGAGAGGCTTTTAGCCAGGTGTTATTAATTACTGATATATACGCCAAGAGAGTACTTACTGTGTGTTTTCGCTTTACTATTTTCAATGGCTTTAATATTAACTACCGTATCCAGTTTCAATTATTGCCGCAGCCAGCAGTAGCTTACTCAATATCTGTTCACCGACTGAATTCAAACATTTCCCTCAAGAAGACATTCGATTCAAGAAGATATTCGATAGAAGATGTGCAGAATCAAACACTTCACTACTCGAAAGGTCCTGAGCATAGAGAAGCTTCAGAAAACCAAAGCTCTACAATGAGTCTATATAAGCACCTAAAGATACACTTTGAAATTATCTAGTCAGATACTAATGCCGTTTGATCAAATCAGACTGCTCAAGTTATCAAGTGCGCATGAGTTTTTCTTTCATTAAAGTTAGGTAGCAATTAATATGTATTATGGTTTTACCTTTGTAAGTAACTATGCCTTAGATTTTATATACATGGATTACTCTATTAGGATAGGCAGACGAAGCTAAATATTTCGCTAGTGTATTTGTTTACAGTTTTTGATTGCTATATTCCAGGTATCGGAAGATATCCTTGACCGATTGGACATCTTCATCCTTTCACTTCAAGAACTTTACGTTCCGAAACCACTCTTATGGGAATGGTGCTGGCTTATGTCCATTCCTGTAGCCGGTGTAGGCCTATCAGCACTCAGAAAAAACAACGCGGCTTCTATGAAGGTGCTTGATAAAATGTAGACACATGGACGTGTAGAATTATTTCAAGACAGATGACCATCAAACCATGAATTACAGTCTATCACTGTAAATCTCGTTCTGGTATCAATGAGATCTAACGCTCAACTCAACCTGAGAATACTAGGTGCTATAACAAGGTCGTTTTCTAAATATAAGAGGCAGATCTGTACAAAACCTTTATCTACGTCATTCAAGAGATATAACGCATACGATACGACTGTTATGAAACTCATGGCGAATAGCCAAAAGTAGTATTTTCTGTTATTCACGGCGTTGAATTTACGAAATTAGCGGAACCTGTCTGAGGCTGAGTCTGAGTCTGAGTGAGTCTGATTCTCACTGCCAATAGATGCATCGACCGCCCTCAGTGTAGTAAAAAATGCTAACAGGCAAATCTGGACAAAAAGAGTCAAAAGCCGATACTTGCTCTAGAACAATGGCAGCATATTCTATTGTTGAGATCAACAAAAAAAGTATGTGTGCCTAAATACGACCGTGTGCCATTCATGCTTTAACCGGTTTCGAAACAGCCACTAGTGAAGGAAAGTTAAGCATGGTCATCACTCTCTTATTAGTATTTCTTTTTTGTTATAATTATATCTCTTGCCTGATAATTATCTATCTTGTCTGGAAGCATCATGACTGGGCTTGTTATGTAAGCCTAACGGTGCGCGATCCGTCAAAAAGCATCTGTTAGTAGGTATGCAAAATTTATCATCTAAATCACCATCTATTGTCTGTGTATATACTGTCTGTAGAGGAAAAAACTTGGTGGGAACGGTTTGCATTATTGTTAAACTGTTTGTATCTCGAATTTTGCTGAAATTTAACTGATTTGAGCACGTAAAATTTACGTAAAAGGACGGCCCGTAAGCTTCATGCCCTGCGTTTTAGCTGAAACGATGTCTAGCGCAACATGCGCAATGATGTTTAGTACGCTGATCGAGTTACCTGTTTTGTATTGAGGAATTTAGAAATTGGGTACATGGAACTTCACGAAAGTGAGCTTCGAACGAGTGCGACATCTAGTTTCATCTAAACAAAACCTTTAATATTAGAAGGAAAACAAAGTATTTTTTTCAATCGCATGAAAAACAAGACATGAAATTTAATATCGCGTTATTATGGGGTAAAGTCCACAATAACGTAAGCGATAACGTTCAGGCCATACGAGCATAGTGTTTTATGTTTTATCAACTACCTGCGAAGTTGCCTAGATTCGGTATAAAGCCTGAGTGACAAATTGCCGTTGACCTTATTTAGAGTAATCCAGAGCTACTTGGTCAATGTGCGCCTTATATGATATTTATGCTAGCGGTAAAAATATAAGGAGGGAAATTCTCGTTCTATGAATGGTGACATTGTGCAGAAATATCGACGTATTTTTGCACAATGTCACATTTTTGCGGTAGTATTGAACACCCTGATGCATCAAGAATCACTTCACACTGGAGTTCCTTTCGGCTGTGCTACCCGAATCAAGAAGGCAATTAAAATAGCAAATTGACATACAGCTACCCCCTCTCAATAAACCGTGTCGAGGGAACGACTCAATAGTGAGCACGCTGCCTGATGTTAGACAGAGTCAGAGCAGCCATTTTGAATTCAGGATACAGGCCATGGCTAGCAGCTTCGCTGTTCCTGTAAGATTTTTTTCTTAGCACGTTTTTTCGTGTGTGTTTGCTGTGCGCTGTGCGTATCGTGATTAAAAATAACAATGTGATTTCACGTTTCGCAGAATTTGATCCGACGGACGCTGCTGGCAAACGTCAGCACATTTATCTATTGTGACGGCTATGAGAACTGAAATAACAGCTTCGTGTACTTTATACTTTCTACCTTGAGAAGGTAGCTCATTATCACATTTGCACACAGATCTACTATTATTTTAATGCATTGAACAATACCAACTTTTATGATCAAACTCGACTATTAGAAATCATTGCCGATGTTTCGAGCATTGCTTTGAATGATCTTCTTGAATGATGACTGGTGACTGATGAATAAAAACTAGCCTTCAGTGACCCTGAGGCTATACGCGTGCATAGTTCTGCCCCACTGAAATGAAAATCATGGCTGTTGGCTCAATTGTAAGTGAGTACTTCATCTGTCTTTTCAAGCTTATCTGTTATGCTTATTAAGTGTATAGGGTGTATACAGTATTTAGAAATGTCTACCACAAGCTGACGAGGTGAAAGTGCAATAAAAACACATAATGCAAACTTGGCAACGTTTGGAGCATTTCGGATCCTGTTGCTCTCCTTTTGTTCTGCAGTGTATATGCAATTTAATAGATGTTTGTCAAACATAAACAGTTATTAGAAAAACAATATTAAAAAATCCATTAGCGACGTTATTAATCGTGTCATTGTTGTCTGGCCAGTAACTGTGGATTGTAAGTGGTAAGCCCACTTTTCCTAGTACGTTGTATATACAGACACATGCTGGTTTATGCAAGTAATGGCTGGTCTTGCATTACATGCCGTTTAACTACTACATTGAGGAAATCCCCGGGCCTCTTCTAGATATGAGATTATGAATGAACGAGGTCCAGGCTGGAACGTAGCTTTGCAGAATATTTCGAATAAGTGATGACAAATGGTAATAATAATAGTAGTATTAAAATCACTGCGCCTGCTCTCCATGTTACTGTGAATATGTTGCCAAAAAGCAAAAAAAAAATGCTGAGTTAGATAATTGGCATAAATGGAAGGGTGCGTTTTGCTTACGATTCACTTAAATAAGGATATTGGTGATGGCCGAGTAGCAATTGTCACAAGTTAGAATAAAAAAGATATTGTTGTTTATCTTTTTTATGCCATATTTCAGATTTATGTGTCAGGAACATTTATGTTTGGCATAGTGCCTGTCTTAGCTGCCGCATTTCTATACTTTAGTGAAATGAGTGAGTACATTCAAACGAAAAGCAACGTGACCTTCTGGCAGGGCTACCCCATAGCCGTACTCTGGTATATATTCATCGTTCTTGCTGTGCAGGTAAGGGTCAAGATCAGTCAGAAGTTAGTCGAGCTTTTTTTGCTCCTGTCTTTTATAGTGACGAAAATAGTGATGATTAATAACGTTTTGTAGCAAATACGGCTATGTGAAGTTAAAGTTTTTTTTCCTCTATTGAATTACAGATACACGTATTTTCGCTGTACTTCGCGATTCGGTTGATACTGGCCTGGCAGAAGGTTGTCACAGTGAGAAAGGCCAAGTGATGCTAGAGCACAGATTCCTGCTTGGACTGAGATGAAGTGCTTCAAAAAAACTGTAAAATTTATTGGGCTCCAAGTGTAGTAAAGTCACTTTAACGAATAGAAGACACTTTTCTAACGTGTCTATTGATCTTTGCGTGCGTGTGTGTGCGAGTAAAAGAGTATCTGATTAGAATGTCTGAGCCACGAACCGGCTCATGGTTCCGCATGCCTTTGTGACTGAGGTTTCGGAAGAACACAGAATATAACAGAAACTCTAATGATGAAAACTAAACAAGTAAGGAACAAAGATGAAAGAGCACGACTGGTTGTTTTCTTCTGCGCGCATGTATGTTAATTCGGTGGCCTTTTGCCGCTTCAGATAAAAAGAGACGCATGAAAATGACGGTAACAACGGTAACGATGAAATAAATATCTTTTTACTCTGTTTTGACATGTTGGCTAATTATTTTGTTTGAAGGAACCTGTGAATTTTCGATTGTTTCATTCGCTACTTCGGGCTAAAATAAAAAAATTCAGCTGCTGCTACGATGTCAAAGTACTATATTAAAACTGTAATCGATTAAATCGATTACAAATAGTTTTAGTTGCTCTGTTAAAAGCACTCGGTCATGTGGGTTGAGACTGTCCATTACCAAAATATCCTTCGAATACGACGAACAAGTGGATCTCGAAGAATTTTCTTCTCAGCTTTTGAAGTAACGATTACCTGTCATCCGAAGTCTGTTCGAGCATCATTGTAACACAAGCAATCTGGTGCTTGTTATGCCATCATTCGACAGGTTATTTAACAAAGACTATTTATTATCGCAAAGGGGAAACGAGTAGCTATGTAGTACACTGGCTAGGCGTTCCTGCTTGACCATTGGTCTTCCCATCTGTACAAGTATCTATCAGGCCTTTTCAGTTGCACATACTATTTGAGTGCCAATTTTTCTACTTCATATAATTGTTGTATTACTTTTGAAAGCCTGAATATAATGGTTTTAGGTATAGTGTAAAAACGAGTCATATTATAGCATCTTATACTGATTGAATAATTCTAAGAAAATTATGAACTCAAACAAGTGGATAGAACCTGTCTTTTCGAAGTTCTTATGTGCTTGCCTATAAGAAATTTCGAAAGTAATATTGTCTGTTATTTTACTCCGTTCTAAAACATTGTAATGATCGAAGGTTGTCTTGTAAAAATTAGTGAAATTCGAACAAAGAGTGCGGCAACCTGTTTACCATGTTTACTCCATGAAATTGCATTTGGAAAGAACTGGCAGCAAGCAAAGAAAATCACAATTTTTTTTGCCACCTTCATCGCCTTTTGGGATTAGAGCTAAATAACAGCCATTAGACAATACTTTGAGAAAGAAAATTAGCATGCTATGATAATAGCAGCAAACGTATACATAATATAATTAGAAAAATACACCGTTATCGAATGGATGGCGTCTAAGTAGTTTTTCGAATATGCAACAGCATAAAAAATGTAACTACCCTCGGCGGGATTCGAACCCGCAATCCCCGGTTTAGGAGACCGATGCCTTATCCGTTGGGCCACGAGGGCGCAGTGTCGTTTCGTGTATCAGAGCCGCCTTGTATTGTACTGACAGATTCTCGAACGAAGACCATGGCGTATTTTGTTGTAGGGTAGTATCAAATAGTAATAGGGAAATTAATGTGTAATGAATACCTTAAGGATGGAATTAGTTTTCGATTTTTTGTATCATAGGGAAAACCGCAATTTTGCCATATATTTTTTTTTTTTTTTAGCTGTGTTAGTGAATTTCAAAAGGGGCACAAAATCTATCTAGGGAATTGAACTTTGATTCATATGATTTGTATGATCACAAGAAAATTAGAGAGGTCACAAAATTATTGGTAGTCGCTAGATTTTGGCTTACGTACAACGATCTCAACTGAAATCGTAGTTAAACGGGTGGGCTCTGATGGATACAAATGTTTTGCCAACATTTGTATAAATTCCATGGTTTTCTTGTTATTAGTTTATACTCCGAGATTGTCCTATAGAAGAAATTTGCAAGATAAACTTTTTTTGCACATGTCTTATATATACATATATATGTATATATGTGTGTGTATTGTGTGAAATGACACGTTGATCAGGCAAAGAAGTGTGCTTCAGTAAAATGGCCTGTTGCTTCAACATACTCAGTCGATTTTTCTACATAGCCCTGCCGGTGTTGTAGTTCTTAAACAGCCCTAGAACCTGTACCTCGTAAGAGATAGCAACACATTGAGTGTAACTATTTTTCTTGGCATTGGCAATTATGTGTCACGTACCGACAGTATACTGTGGAAATATGATTGCCTAAAGTTAATTTTGCTTATATTTATATATATATATATATATGCAATAGGAAGTCAAACTTAAAAACACCGTTCATGCTACAACTATGTCCTGTGCCATACATGAACCTGGCAAACGATAAATCAAATCGTAAAAATCAACAAGTTCGAAAGGTGTTTAACAATCAAGTGGGGTCACTCAGATTTACGCATTCTTGCTGTTAATAAAGAGTATTTTTAAATATATATAAATAAAGAGTAAAATTAAACACATCCAAGTATATCTAGCCGTTCAGGTTGAATAAAAATGATTTAACACGTTAAATAACAGCTTCTATTAGAGCTCATAGTATGCCTATAAATGACCTTCAAATCGACCCCTAATATATACACCCGTATGAACAAAAAAGAAAACTAATCTTGATTATATATATGTAAGTATGTCCAACGCGAAATTTGCTATCTTTCGATGGTCTGCAAGCTTTACGGAAATCATAATACTAGATAGCCACGTAAGTGCTATGGAAGCCATCAACATTTCTTGATTTCTAACAAGTATATGATGGCAATTAACAAGCATGCAATGTTCCAAGTAAGGAAGAGCAACTCTTAAAGGAAAAAACAAGTAAGCTGTTTCGTCTTGGCTAAATAAATCTGCGGCCTAATTTATCAGACGGGCTGATCCCCAACAGAAAGAACGAACTGTGTCTATGTCCAGTTTCAAGTCTAAGCCAGCACGTGTTCCTAAGTTTAGCAGATGAACCCACTATCACTACGCTGTCACGGGAACCCAGTTTTGGATACACGTAATTACATGTGTTCCAGGGTTATGTGGCCAACCAGGCTGTCATAGCATGTTTCAAGCGCTAATATACATGTTTTCTATGTAGTAATTAGATACATAGGAAAATAAGACATCCCTTAATCTTTAAAACTTCATGCACGATCCCAATCATGTTTGGTTTTTAACTCAGGAATACAGTAAATGCAGCCATTTCTATCGCCTTCTCACGTGTCGAAGCTTCATTCATTCATTCATTCATTCATTACTAGTATTAGCATTTCGATCTATCAAGACTTCGCATTATTTTCATGGTTCTCACTCCATATAAAATGTAATATGTAACCAAAAATGTGAACCTGCCGTTATATCCGATTGTGAGGGACTCATTTGAGTAGCCAGTTTCTCGGGACTTCGGTCAACAAGCCTGAAGCGCGTAGCGTCTCTTAGGCCGCTTATCGACAACGGTTTTCTAAGTAAACTTCAAATAAGCTCTTCGTAACATTCTCGCAAAGGAGAAAGGTGACACCAAACCAGGACTTCATTTCCTGCTTCACGTCGTTGTGCATCAGTGCTGTCTGTTCAACTTTTTGTTTTCTATTATCTACTTCTGTAGCAAATGTCTACATCTTTCTAAATGATTTGCGTGACGCGATCGGTGTCTCCATTCCCGTAGACTATTCCATACAATGATATGTGTACGCTCACTCTTGTAAAGACGAGCATGCCGCCTCGTCAGCGATCGGCGTGCTGTGCAACAGCCGAAGCAGAGTGCTGTCGACCGACGTCTTGTATCTGTTGTCGTGTCACATACAATGCCCCTGTCTTTATTGAAAAAATCAAACGAACCCCGTCAGATTTGTCACTCTGCTCGCGCTACTCCAAGTCGCTTGCGGGCGACGAGACAGCGGAGAAGGTTTGTTCGTTGGCTCTCGTCATTCGGAAAGCGCTATGCCGTCATCTATTGGATACGCAGTCCTCGATGATGTTTCTGCTACTGTCGACCCTGCAGTCGTAGTTGTCCGTCCGGCCCCACGCTACGTCTGATGGTGGCGCTGCACGTGAACAAGGCTCGCGTGCGGTTTTGCGGCCAGCGGCCGCCGGGGCGCCCGGCGCCGATCGGTGGTGGCTGTAGTAGGAGCAACGGTGGCGGCGGCGATGGCAGCTAATCGCTGGTTGCGTGATAGCGGCGCTGCTGTGGCCGCCGCCGCCGCCACCGCCGCCGCCGCCGCTTCCGTCACTGGCGTTGTGTTTGTCGTTGTGATAGTTGAAATTGTAGAGATGGCAATAGAAATAGTTGCAGTCCTTCTGTTAACTGCCTCTATCGCTGTTATAACAGCAATAATAGCAGCCGGTATGGCGACGAATGTTGTTGTTGTCGTCGTCCTCGTCGTCGTTGTCGCTGTGACGATTGTGCGTTATTGCCGCCGCTACCGCCGCTAGCAATGCTGCTGCCACTGCTGCTGTTGTCTGCGTTTACTGCGTTCGAGTCAGTCGAGAGAGATATTGCAGGTTGGCAGACGCGACAATTGAACGCGATCTCGACCGACGCGTCGATTGCCGAATGCGATCGACACATTGTGGCCTGCCGATTCCCTCGAGAAAGTTGTTGAATTGAGCTGAATGAAAGTACGCCGGCTGCAGTTGTTGTTGCCGCTCACATTGCTTTCCAGTGAGTCTGTGGTCCGAGTCTGCACGAGCATCAACGAGCGCGCATCGCCGTACCTGCCTGCCTGCCTGCCTGTCTGTCTGTTCGGTTAGTATGTATTCGCCGCGGCTTTTAAACGAAACAAAATACGCAGGCTTATCTTCATCATAAGGGACTGAAAATATGTGAAGTATTCGATCGGTTTGAAAGCAATCGGAGGCAATAAACGATGCCCGTGAAAGGGGCGATCTATTCTTCACAGGTCGCAAAGCGAAGAAAAGTAAGTAACGAAGCGTTATTCTTCTAGAAGAGTAAATCGAAATTAGGTGCGTTACAATATTTTTGATTGTAATGTATCCAAGTGCTGGTTGAGGCATTGCAGGAGATGGAGAAACAGCGAGAACATGTTGTTAGAAACATGCTTTTGAGCGACTGCTGTAGAAGGTTGCAGATGCAAAGGGTACAAGACTTATTGCCGCTGGTCCCTAGTCATCATAAATGCTTATGTCTTTTTTTTTGTTAGGAAATGCTCAACTTTGCCATGTGACACCTTAGCGCATTATCTACTTTGTCCTTGTTTGCCTGAACACTGTATTCAATCGAATTTTTGAAAATACCCCTGGAAATGCTAAATACGGGGTACCCCAAACAGAGGCTCCAAAAAGGAGAACAAGCAGTAACAGCTATTGTTTCTATCGTGCAA